AGCCAGAGTCCAGTTTCCCCTTTTGCTCTTCCCATTTTGGAGATTAGGATTGGTGTGTACACAGCCTAGATTCCACTACAGCTGTACCACTTGTGCGGGCCGGGAGCGACCCGAGCCCTTTTCCGCACTGCACGCGGGCTGTGGCCAGCAGCCCGGGCATGCCGGGTCGGAGAGGGAAGGCCGTCGAGCTGGAATTAGGCACAAACGCGTAGCGGTAGTTTTAAAGATTGTTTACTTACACCGAGATGGCAGTGGTGCAGGCTGAAAACTTGCTTAAGTTGCGGTTACAGACAGGAAAGAAGAGAGGCGGACAAGAGTTCTAGACTCGTGAACTCTAGCCCAATCTGGCTGAAGGCTCTGAACACGCGAGCCTGTCGTGTCAGCCGAAGAAAATACTCGTCCGGAAGAGCTCTGAATAAACTCACACGAAGTTTGCTAGGCTCCGTGGGTCCTTCTGCTCACTCATTCACATGGAGTTTGCTAGGCTCCGTGGGTCCAGTTCTTTTGCGCGCGGGAAGGGATACGTCTGGACTGCGCTCGGCGACAGGCTAGAGGTTGATCAGACCTCCGTTGCCTGCTTTGAATGCACTGGGTCCATAAGGATCCGCAGTGCTTAAGAGATCTTCACACAGCGTGAAGTCTCCTCCTCCCTTGTTCGTGGAGTCCTCCAACTTGGGCGGAAACCACTCAAGCCTTTTATACGGCTAGCAAGCCAATCACTAGCCGCCACGTGTGAATAATTCAGAACTGGCCAATAATGGGACTCGAATTAGCATACAAATGGCGGGAACTCTTTGCAACGAGCATTTCTGTGCTGCAACAAAAAAATGCACCCTGCAAAGAAAGCTTCAAATTGGCGGGAAATTTTCCCTTGCACCGGGGTTCTGTTTTGCAGCAGAGAACTCCACCGTGCAAAGAAGCTATAATTTTAGTGGGAACAATTTAGCAGTGCTGAAGCACACAAAACAAAAATCGCACCCTTTGGGTTGTGACACCACTAAGAAAGTAGCATGTCTCAAATCGTGTAGATGCATGTATTGGTAGAGCTTGTTCCCATAAATCTGTGTGTAAATTAGTGATTGTTAGCGAATAAAAACCTAGGATTCTAGACTAGCCTAGGGATTGACATGATGCCTCATTCAATGAGTGACAAACAGGCTTTATTAACTACAAGTATTCAAAGTCAGATGAACCCAAACCAAAGCAAAGCCCAGTAATTAGCTATAGGGTGATGATTTCTCACCAAACAGGCAACAAGAGAGACAGTCTGTTTCTTCCAGCTTTTTGAGATAACTGGGGCACAGCAGCAGTTCTTGTCAGAGAGATCTTTCATTCTTGAAGCATACGCTGTTAGCTGTTTCACTTTGTTTGTATACCCTCAGTCCAGCACTTTCCAAGAATTCTTGGAGAGTTGTGTAAATCAAGGAAGTGTCCCAAGCAGTAATTGACAGGAAAATCCTGTTGATCAAAGTGCTCATTACTGGTTATCAGAAAATTCTGATTTGAATGAATTACCTTCTTCGGTGACAAGAGGTTATCCGTTTCTACTAAGTTTGGAACATATCAAGAAACTAATTACCAACCAGGAAAAACGCAAGGTTTTGGGGAGTGTCCTTGGAAAATCAAGAGAACCACTAGCCAAAACGGAAGTAAATCAGGAGGAGACATCTATCATATAAGGAGAATGACTCTTCCTATACATAATGTGAGTTAATTGCAGGAGAAACATTTACCATACTAATTAATCAAGGATAGACATTTCACATGGTTACATATCAGACAACTCGGAGCCTGCTTGAAATCATCATGAATATTGTAAGATAAACTGGAAGAGTCTCTAGTCCGGATTATTTCTTCTCAGATGGCTTAGCCATGAACTTGCATCCTCTTGCACGATGCAGTTAGCATCAGTATTTTGTATTCTGACTTTTGTGAGCAGGCCCCAGCTTAGCATGAGTTTCAGAGTCATCAGTGATGCATGTAGACATGCTCAGAGTCCATAATGGTGATGTCAGTAGGTACTATACTTAGGAACTCTTGCATTTCATTTCTCTGGTAGCCTTTTTCCCCATTTCTTCATAGATTTCATAGACATTAGAGCTGGAAGGGACCTCAGAAGATCTTTGAGCCCAGCCCCCTGCCCCAGGGGCAGGAAGTCAGCAGGGGTCATAGGATCCCAGCAAGATAAACATCCAAATTTCTCTTAAAGGCGATCATAGTAGGTGCTTGAACCACCTCCAGCGGCAGTCAATTCCAGACCTTGGGGGCACGGACAGTAAAGAAGTTCTTCCTTATGTCCAGCCTGAAATGGTCCTGGAGGAGTTTGTGACCATTCAACCTTGTCATCACAAAATCCTCTAGGACCGTTTCAGGCTAGACATAAGGAAGAACTTCTTTACTGTTCTTGCTTGCACCCAGGTTTTTTCCAAGTGTTAACCAAATATCAGTTTTGCTGTGCTCTTCCAAACCCTAGGTCTTCATTCTTTTTTACTAGGGCTGTCCAGCTTTTAAGCGGTCAGAGGCTACACCCCTGCAGGCTGCACTAACAGGGGCCACACGCCACTCGAGCTGCACCAGAGGGGTTATGGATTCTCAAACAGTATGAACACTCCCTGCTGCAGCATCCTCACTCCCCTGCACTGAAGTGTGTATCTATGTGGGCACCCCCCCACCACAGCAGTGACCACAACTGAATCACTGCAGCATGTTCCCACATGGATGCCCACCACCAATACCGTTGCACTGCATACTGCAAAGCCCCACTGTCAGCCTGAGCTATGCATGCTGCACCCCACCACCCCTGGAGTGGGCCCAAAACACAGAGCCAGAGGAGGAGCCTGGAGAGACTGGCTGCTGTTGCAGCTGGAGCAGTCAGAGTAGCAGCAGCCAGGTGGGAGCCCAGGAATCCCAACTTAGCCCCTTGTAGGCAGCACAGGGTTTGCAATGAGCAGGTTCTCTGCACGGCTCCTCTGCTACCTGCTGCACCGGGTCATGCCCACTGGACTTTGGAGGCCCCGGAGCAGGGAAGCAGGGCGGCAGGTGTGCGGGCCGGGTGTGAGCCGGGCCCTTTTTTGTGCTCTGCGCGGGTTGTGGCCAGCAGCCCGGGCACACGGGGTCGGAGAGAACGGGCGACACGCTAGAATTAGGCACGGACTCGTAATGGTAGATTTAAAGATTGTTTACTTACACCGAAGATGGTTGCGGTGCAGGCTGGAAAACTTGCTTGAGTTGCAGTTACAAATAAAACAACACGAACAATCACGTGGAGTTTGCTAGGCTCCACGGAAACAGAGCTCCGGATGCCCTGGACAAGCGCACCACCGAAATAGAAACTTCGTAGATACGTCTTATAAAAAATTATCGCTTGAAGACGGAAAGAGGTGGGCGATGGATCAGGTCGCCAAACTCCTCTGAATCTCACACAGGGTTTCTATTACCCTGCCGTGTACCCAGAGTCCCCATGAGATGGATGTGAGTCCTCTTCGGCTTGGGCGGAAACCGCTCAAGCCTCTTATACGGCTAGTAGGCCAATCGTTAGCTGCCACGTGGGAATAATTTAGAACTAGCCAATAGCGGGGAACAAATTTGCATGCGGGTGGCGGGAACTCCTTTGCACCGTGCATTTCTCTTGCAACTTGAGCAATGCACCCTGCAAAGGAAGCTACAAATTGGCGGGAAATTCTCCCTTGCACCGGGGTTCTCCTCTGCAGCAGAAAACTCCACTGTGCAACGAAGCTGCAATTTAGCGGGTATAATTCTAGTGCCGAAGCACACACAAAATCATACCTTTGGGTTATGACAGCAGGGAATAGTGGGCCTGTGCAGAGAAGCTGCTTGCCACTGCAAGTCCTGCACTGCCTTGGTGACGCACCTCCTGCGCATGGGGCTGCAATGAGGGCAGCAGCATGGGGCTGCACCCCTCAGTGGGGAGGGGGTGTGCTTGCAGCAGCAAGGAAGTCCCCACATGGCCCAGCTGTCCCCAACCGTGTCAAGTCATACCTGCAGGGGTGTGGAGACCCCCAGGGGGGAAACAGGGCGGGAGCTTGAGCCCACAGCCTGCTCCAGCCCCATGTACAGATTGGGGGGGCACAGGTATCCCCTGCCCCCTGGGACTGCATGCGGTGGCGGGGAGCCACCCTGCCCAAGCCCACAGCAGGCGGGAGTAGGGGCAGGGAGTTGTGGACCTGGGTCTGTAGCCGGGGGAGCTGTGTGTGGGCCTTTAATTTTAATCACGGATTTGGGATTTTTTATTACAGAATTTATGATTTTTTTAAAAATTTTTTTAGTGGTGAATTTGGTATGTTTTATCAGGGGAAACCAGGATCCCTGCTAATGACCACTCAGCCCTGAGCCTTCAGACATGCACCCCAGGCTGCTGTACCCTGTCTAGGTTGCCTAATTTGCAGGTTTGTGTGTGCAAAGAGGTGCAAATGGGTGGGACTGTGTTTCTTGGCACCACTTCCAGGTTTGCCTTGGAGGCAGCATAGACCAGGCCAAAGAGAGACTGTAGTATGGCATTTAGATTTGGATACCATTAATAGAAAATATACATTTGTTTACAAAGTAAAAATATTATTTCTGACTCTTGGTCCTGAAAAGTCAAGTCAGGTAATTTCTGTTTCATGTACTTTTTATCAGGAAAGCATTTTGCAATTGAAAATTAAATAAGTCTGTTGCAATTGTCCAAAGCAAAATAGAATCTAAAGCCCTCTTCTCAATTATTATTTGCTCTAGTCTAAATAGGAGTAAAATGTATCAAAAAGTATTAGAAGCAAGTAATCTATGAATTTACCATAATCTAATAGTACACTGTAATCTGTTGTGAGACAATATGCCCTGTTTACAAATGAAATTCTGGACTAGAGTCCTTTGTTGTTTTTAAATGGCATACCAAGCATTTGGATGTCTGTGCAGCAAGTTAACAGTTTGGGTATTTTGTTTCCTCCTATTGCCTTTAAATATTCTTGGTTTGAAATCTTTTTTTTTTAACTCTTTTACAGTATAAAGAAATGTAAAAATTATTATGAAGTACTTGGAGTTGCAAAAGATGCAGGTGATGAAGACCTAAAGAAGGCTTATCGAAAATTGGCTTTGAAATTTCATCCAGACAAAAACCATGCACCTGGAGCAACGGAAGCTTTCAAAAGTAAAAGTTTGGGTTGTTTTAAACATTGTACATGGAAAAATCTATCAGAATAGAAAGGGCCCACCTGTTTTGCAAAACTGAATATTTTAAAACATAACAAATTAATCTTATGTATGTAAAATTGAAAATCCATGGTAAGTTACATAGCTGAGAGAGGTTCCTTAAATAATGACTTCCTTTCAGAGAGTGACTGACCTTATAATCACATAGGGTGCTTACAGATGCTAAAAAACAAACAAACAATACCCCCTCTACCGCACTTTACTGGAAGAAGGAGTGAGTTAGTTCAACCTGGCTTCACAGCATCTGTATAGATCGGGGGTGCTTCAGCAGGGCTTTTTGTCACTTTTATCTGAAGCCAATTCAAGCAGCTATTAGATAAAAGTGCCAAGAAAGCCCACTAAAGCACCTGATCTATGTACACATTGAGTGAGCAAGGTCGAGTTAATGCATTGCCTCTTCTGGGCATGCTCTGGGCTTGGCACAAGAGCATGCCAAGTTTAAAGTAAAGTGCTGTTCTTTTGTTTGGTTGGTTTTTTTTTTTAATCTCTGTAAACAGCCATAATGTCTACTATAACCTAAGGCAAGTGTGTCAAACATACAGCCTTCAGGCCAAATCTGGCCTGCAGAGGTGGGTCATCCAACTCACAAGGCTTCTCAGAGCTACTGTTGCCAGAGCCAACACTTAACAGGTTAATGTAGCTTCCATCTGAGGTAGGTACGCTCTCCCCCACAAACTCTATCCCTACCTCTTCCCTGCTTTCTCTTCCCCTTTAGAATTTACAATGGCCCTGGAGGGTGTAGGAGATGTGTAAGTAGTAGCATTAATCCCCTAAGTGGTAGCAGGGAATATGGCCTGCCAACTGATTTGTTTGACACCCTTGACAGGGGTAGTTCAACATGTATTTGAAAGTTGAATATGGCAATATGGACTTCTGAAATCAGTGAGTTCAGGATTGCTTGAAATATAACAGCAAAGCATAAGTAATATTTAGTAATACAACTCAGTTACCTTTCTTTTTATGCCATTTTATACTCAGTTGACTCTTAGTTATGTTGGCTAATTTAATATGATCGTACATTTTGCAAGATATATTCATACTGTTCCTTCAAAGTTTATATATTTACCAGTACTTAGTGTACCTCAGGCATTTGTAGCCCGAAGGACCATGTAACTAAGGAACGGTGCTTATGGGGGGTGTTAACAATGTATGAGAATAGACTGTCACAATTCTACAAGAAACAAAACTGTTTTGAAAGAACACCATAATAAGAGATATATCTGAATCACTTGCACTGTTGTATGAGATAACAAAAGTTTATAGTATCCAATGTTACTTTATCAGAGACGTTACAGTAGGGATAGGCAACCTCTGGCGCACATGAAAGCATTTTGTTTGGCATGTTGTGTACCTCTGGGCAGGCAGCAGGGGAGCTGCAAGGGGCCCAGTGCTGCTTGTGGCAGTGCAGCCCCTTCCCCACTGTCCACCTCAAGGTGCATGTGCACCTGCTGCCAGCAAGAAGCCAGGTCAGGGCTCTGTGGACCCTGGTGCAGCTGCTTGCCAGCCTCCTTACCACCTGATGCAAGCAGTGTGGGTTCCATGGCGGGTGGCAGGGACCTGCCCAGAGCCTGGGCAGGCTGTGGCAGGCAGCCAAGAGGCTGCAAGCAGCTGCACTGGGGTCCATGGAGCCCTGGCCTGGCTTATTGCTGGCAGTGGGCTTATGCATGCTTCAGAGTGGACAATCAGGGCAGGGGCTGGGGGCTATGCTGCTACAACAAGGATCAGACCCCTCATGGCTCCCCCACCATCCACCCCTGACATGTCAGTATCTTACAAGTCAAGGTTGCATGTGTTTTCAGCACACTGCCCAGAAACATTGCTGACCCCTGTGTTAGAGTATATAAAAGAGAAACATGTTGTTTTCCATCGTAAGCACTGTTTGCCGTTCTGCACAGCACATTCCAGATTGGTTTAATGCCACTGAAGTCAATGGAGTTATGTAAAATATAAGTTTGACTGTGCGCTTTTTGTTGAAGCTTTAAAAAAAACTACTTTATGTTATTGGGCAATTTTTAATCAGTTGCATGCCATGACAAGTTTCCTTTTCCTTAAAATTGTGTGTGTGTGTGTGTGTGTGTGTGTGTGTGTGTGTGTGTGTGTGTGGTTTAACTTTTTTCAGACAAAAACACCTTTTTTCAAAAATGGTCAAATTTTATAGCTGCCTTTTGACCAGATCTTAACTCAAGACATGGCTAGGTACAGACATTCAAAAAGCCTGAGGCAGAATTGATCTAAGTTATACAGTTTTCTGTAAGTAGCATAGTTTAGACTGGTAGCAAACAGAACACACGTGTGTGCCAAACTTCTAGTCTGTTAAAGCAGGGGTTGGCAAAATGTAGCCCATGGGCTGGATCTGGGCTCCTCCCTGCCGGAGCCTGTCTACCTGCCTGAGCTACGCAGCGGCCTAGTGTTTCCCTCCATGGCTGTCATGCCCCCTGGGACTGCCTGGGCCAGGTGCCTTCAGACAGGTGCCCCCTGGGGGGGGCGCCACTGCAAAGGGAAGCTCCAGGCTGCCTCCCCTCCCCCAGTAGCGCACCCC